TTCTGGATCAGCTGCTTGGCCGCACAAAAAATTTATACACCTTTCCAGGGCTCGAAATCGAAACCTTCAATACGGGAGAAGGAACCGATTTCTATATCACTACGATTGAAATTACTGACCCTGAATATGCCACAATCCGCAATATCAAAGTCGGCGACAGTCTTGAAGAGCTCAAGAAAGCGTATCCCGAAGGGAACCTGACGGGAAATGGAGCGACCAGCGCGCAGGATGAATACCGGTATACGCCGGCCAACTATGTGGATGTAATGACGTTCCATATCAAGGATGACAAGATTGATCGTATTCGCATAAGCACACTTTTGGACTGAGTAATTCAATTCAATTCAATTAAAATGCGTCATTATATAGGAAAGCAGCTTAAGAACTTGGCTTTCTTCCTTCCGTGTAGTCGGTGGAGGAGATGCCAGATGTGAAGTGTCTTGCGGTTGGTTTTCGGACCGACTGCGAGTCCTTTTTAATGTACTAAACTGTACTTCTCTTTGCTCCAAAAGTGGTGGCATTACTGGTTGTGGACGCTGCTATTGTAGCGAGTTGGCGACCGGTTTGTCTGCTGCGGCGTTAATGAAGAAATGCTCGATTCGTGGTATGGTTGGCTTCGGCTGAACAATGCGCTTATTGGGTGATTTTCCTGCTGTGGCGTGATGGACTGGTGAACCATGGCTCTTTAGCTTGGCATTTGAATCGGCTTTGCTGTTGCGAAGTAGAGTGGCGGCTTCGGCTGCCGAGGGTCGATCCATTTGGGAAATGTTGTGTACTTCGGTATGCATCTCAATTGGACCTGATATCAGGCAAGATTACCCGCTGAACTTAAGCATATTAATAAGCGGAGGAAAAGAAACTAACAAGGATTCCCCTAGTAACGGCGAGTGAAGCGGGAAGAGCTCAAGCTTAAAATCTCCGTGCAAGTTTTGCGCGGCGAATTGTAGTCTATAGAGGCGTGATCAGTGTGGGCGCTTGGGGCAAGTTCCTTGGAAGAGGACAGCATGGAGGGTGATACTCCCGTTCATCCCTGAGTTGCTCGTGCGTACGATCCGTTTTCTTTGAGTCGCGTTGTTTGGGAATGCAGCGCAAAGTAGGTGGTAAATTCCATCTAAAGCTAAATATTGGTGCGAGACCGATAGCGAACAAGTACCGTGAGGGAAAGATGAAAAGAACTTTGAAAAGAGAGTTAAAGAGTACCTGAAACTGCTGAAAGGGAACCGAATCGTTTCCAGTGTCTATAATCCGTGGTATATTTCATTGGCGAGTGTGTGCGTGCGTGTGCTGTGGCAGCGGCTTTTTTGGCTGCGCTCGGCGTGTGTGCTGTGTGTGCTTGCTGGTGCCCTGTGCTGCGGTGGGACGTCAAGGTCAGTTCGTATGCTGCGGGAAATGGCCGCCGAGGAGGTAGGGCTTACGCTTGCGTTTGTCTGTTATATCTTGGTGGACGAGTAGTCGCGGTTGGGACTGAGGTGCCTACAACGTGTTTTTGAGTGGGCCTGTGTCTCTGTGTGCGCCGTGTGCGGATAGCTTGCTATGCGTGTGTGGTTGTGTGTGGATTGATGTGGGTTTTAACTTGTTGCCGTTCGGGACGTTGACGAAATGGAGCGATTTGACCCGTCTTGAAACACGGACCAAGGAGTCTAACATGTGTGCAAGTGTTAGGGTGTGGAAACCCCAGCGCGAAATGAAAGTGAAGGGCAGCGTAAGTTGTCTGAGGTAGGAAATGCTGCGGGCTTCGGTCTGCGGTGTGGCACTATCGACCGATCATGAACCTTCGTGGTGAAAGATTTGAGTTTGAGCACATATGTTGGTACCCGAAAGATGGTGAACTATGCCTGAGTAGGGTGAAGCCAGGGGAAACTCTGGTGGAAGCTCGTAGCGATTCTGACGTGCAAATCGATCGTCAAACTTGGGTATAGGGGCGAAAGACTAATCGAACCATCTAGTAGCTGGTTCCCTCCGAAATTTCCCTCAGGATAGCAGCAACTTATTTACGATAGTTTTATGAGGTAAAGCGAATGATTAGAGGATTCGGGGAAGAAACTTCCTCGACCTATTCTCAAACTTTAAATCTGTAAGACCTGCAGGTTTCTTAATTGAACTTGTGGATGTGAATATCAAGTTGCTAGTGGGCCATACGGGGTAAGCTCGTCTGGCGATGCGGGATGAACCGAACGCAAAGTTAAAGTGCCAAAATGCTCGCTCACCTAGATACCATAAAAGGTGTTGGTTCATTTAGACAGCAGGACGGTGGCCATGGAAGTCGGAATCCGCTAAGGAGTGTGTAACAACTCACCTGCCGAATGAACTAGCCCTGAAAATGGATGGCGCTAAAGCGGGCTACTTATACTTTGCCGTTAGCGCGATAGCATTTATAATGTACGCGTTAATGAGTAGGAGGGCGTGAAGGTCGTGAAGAAGCTCGTGGCGTGAGCCTGAGTGAAACGGCCTTTAGTGCAGATCTTGGTGGTAGTAGCAAATATTCAAATGCGAACTTTGAAGACTGAAGTGGAGAAAGGTTCCGTGTGATCAGTAATTGGACACGGGTGAGTCGATCTTAAGAGATTTGTATAATTCCGTTTGAAAGCTGGGCTGTTTGAGC